TACCCACGATGCAGATACTCACTAAGGCAAATTGGTTTACTTGTACATAGAGGGTCTCTAGTTCTTCTTCAGACACAGATCCACTTCCTACTCTGTTTTTTCCTTTATCTCCTGGCTCCTCCTGACTCATTTTCTTGTAGGCCTGTAGATAATGCCTCAGCCACTGCAGCTGGATCTCCTTGCAGGGATACAGGCTGTAGTCCACTTCATTCAGCCCTGGGAACAGAAGTCGGTAGTTGCCAGAATATGAGATGGGTAGCATGGATGGCTCACTGGAGTGATGATGCAAGTCAGCTCAATCGATGCAAGTCAGTTTGCCTCCCGGCAAATGACAACCATTCAGTGACTTCACATCTTTCATGTTAAGGCTTGTCTGCAGCACTGGTTCAGCACCCTGAACTGAAATTGATGGAACTGACTTGAGTTGATCAAGTTGCACAGCTTCTAAATGGGCAGGTGCTAGGCTAAAATGTAAACAGCAAAACTGTTTGGTGAAGGGAAGTCCCTTGAACCCAGCCATTATGGTTGTGTGTTGGGCGGAGTTAGACAGTGCCCTCCTTTCCCACCTGCCCCCAAAGCCTTTCAGCTTCACCCAGTGATCATGTAACAAGTAAGCCACAGTTTCCCACCTGGCTAATAAAGTTCTAGTTCTGCAGAACTGTCTGCACCAAATCCTGCAGGTTTATTTCTTTTAAAAAAAGAAGTCTTCCAGTTTGACCCTGCTTAGCTTCTAAGATCCATAAGGAACAGATGGTACAAGCAGGGATAGAAACAGACATGATTAGCCACACAGTGATTTCCTGTATTATAAAAGCTCAGCTGGTACAGAATTAATGCTGAGACCGAGCTAATTACATGTAGGCCCTTCTAAAGGAGCTTGCTTTTAGTCTGCCCTTTGAGCTAGAAATCAGAGGAGGAAAATAAGCTTGCAACAAACTCAAATTACTGTTAAACTGTAAAGTCATCCACTTTGCCCTGTTTTGGTAAGGGTAACCTTTTTCTTCGGCAGGTTTTTTTACTTTAAAAAGCAAAACGATGCAGAAGACGGGACACTTCCCTCCAGGCCAACTGACCACCCTACCAGTACCTCCCAGTTTAAATAGCAGACTGGGAGGCCCTCTGCCTCAATCATTGCTCAGCAGCAGCAATTTTTAATTATGGCACTTCTTCACTGGCTGCTACGGCTGTCTTTTCTATTTAGGCAATTTCTTACCCTGTATTTCTCCCTGTTAGTTACCCAGTGGCTTTCAGAAAACCTAAATGTAATTTAAATGATCAGAAATTTAAATAAAGACAACCCCCCCCCCCAAGTTGCATTATGAGCCAGTTCTGAACCTTGTTGGTGCCTCACACAATGGCCATAGGCTGTGGGCTATGGACAAAGAGCCCTTTATATCAGTGGACAGAAGCTCAGCTAGGTATCATGCAGTTGATAAGATGTTGCTAACAACCTCGGACAAAAAGGCAATTCCATTTAAATGATGTTATTTACCTCCATGCCAATAAATGCTTCTCCGGGCCAGTTGGCACCCTAATCATCTCCTGCTCTTTCCACAATGCTCAGGGTTGCCAAATGGCTTAGAGGAAAAATGAGAAATGGGCCCTTGAAGCATTTCATAGTGAGGAGACAAACAACTTTCCACTAAACCTCTATTATAGAGACAAGGCAGTTTTCTCTAGGCCTGCTAGTAACCCACGAAGAGAGATCAACCTCAATCATGCAGGGCACCAATGATGGACCTCCAATAATAATTTTATCCCGGGTGTAACAAATACTATAGGAACCTGAGGGTCAGCATGATGAACCTTCCTGCATTTGAAACCATCCTGGGACAATTAGGGGTACAGAAACAGATTTAAGTTTCTCTCTTCAGACAAAAGGGAGAAGAGGGGAGATCAGCTCACCTGCAAATTCATTAAAATGATTCCCGATGTCATACGCTTGGTAGTTGTAACCTGTGTATTCATAATCTATGAAGTGGACATGACCTGAAAAAGCCAAGGCATACAGAATTGGAAAGGATTCTCTCCTAAAAGGGACTTTGGGGCTCCCCTTGCTTGTATACTTTAAATGCACTTTCCAGAGTAAAAACCTCTGCATATTTGTAACAAACCTTCCGCTTCATTGTAGATTATATTCTTGCTCAACAGATCATTGTGGCAGAACACTATTGGAGATCCAAGTTGAGAGAGATGCTCCTTCATCCAGCAAATCTCTTCTTCTAGCACTTTTAGACTGGGAATAGGCACTTCTTGATGAATGCTTGGGAAGGAAGAGGGGAAAAATGGTGCCATTTTCACTTGCAGACAGTAACCATAAGATGCCTTGCAAATATCACTAATTTAAAAAAACGCATAGGTCATTTTTTTCTGGGACGGAAATGCTGATTCTGTATTATCACAACAGCTATGCCGCCCCCCCCCCCAGCCAGATAAGACAAAATCTGTGAGGAAACCAGAATTCTGTATCTCATAAATTATGTTTACATTTCTTCTTTCATACACCTACTAGATCAGTCCTTCCCTCTCTGCCCCTTCTTTCTCCAAAGGGTGGCTGTGGGACTACTAGAAAAAAATTGCAACCCAACAGCTAAAGACCAACAGAATACCAAACCTCTGTACTCAAGCAGTATGTTCAACCTATTTTCATGGATGACTGAGCACTTTTACTGACTTCACTGAACTTCATTGCACTTACGTTTACTGCTCTTTAGACAATGCTGTGTTTTGGCTGCCTATTCCCACCCATGATATATGTAGAACAGAACAGCCAAAAGCGGCATTGGAACAGATAGCTGCATTGCATTTCTCCAAAACCATGTAAACAAGACCTGGGTAAGAACAAACAATGTTCCCAATTAAGTTTGTTCACTTCAGCATGCATCGGATAATGCACTAGAGAGAGGTGTTTCTAATAAACAATTTCTAAGTATGAAATGCTGCCCCTATGCCACAAGTACATTAGAAGGACAGGGATGGACCTTTAGATGTTTGTAATAATGTCAAAAGGCTTCTGGAGTGCCATGTCAGAAGTGCAATATGTGTTTCTGCTTCAGAGATGCAGGAGACACTAGTCGAAGCAGTTCCACAAGAAGCTCCCCCACCTCCCCAACTGGTATATCGTCTAACCTTTCCATAATCAAACCAAGCCTTGACGTGTCGGTTCTTCAGTTTTGAGATTCATATGCTAACCAACAAACCAATCATACCATCACCTCAGCCCTCAAGCCATTGCTTATTTTGAGCCTGAATTGCTAAATCACATGGTTTAAAAGCAAAAAACAAAACTAACCCAAGCTTTTGGCATTAGGAAGAATGACCCTGTCACAGCTTGGTGGAAGAATGACAACCATGCTGAAAAGGAAAGACCTTGTGAACGTTCAGTGGCAGTGGTGAGGAAGAATCCCATAATGGTTTTGCCTTTCACCTGGCTTTCTCCTAAATGCTAATGGGTTCTCTCTCTTTACCCACAGCTGGGCAGGATGCCCTATGGCCCATGTATAAAATACACAAAATTAAATAAAAATTTATTAAAGCTCTTGGGGAACACATTCCTTCACTAGAGATTAGCATTTGGCTTTCTTTACCTGGAATTCAGTGTCTTTCTAGAAAGCTCTGCTTTCACAATGTTAAAGTACTTGTACAGTCGCTGCCACAGGCAAGGCTTGGGGAGACTCCCATTGGTGTGAATCCTGTGCATCTGAGCCATTTTCTGAGCTACTAGCCTAAAAGAAAATCAGATATGTTCAGTGGTCATTTGTAAAAAAATAATAATTCTAAGCTGTTGTTTCCATTGCAAACAACTGGAAGATAGGAGTTAAAACTGTGGTTTTCAGCTAAATGCCTATTCTGAAAGTCCAGCATGCTATGTGTGAACTCTGTCACCTAAGTGCTTTTATGATTTTGGCTGCAAAACAAACCTAAAAGTTTCATAGTTAAATACCTGTACATTGGATCTGCTCCACAGGTACCAGTGAAAAGATAGTGATTTGCTTCTTCTCTCTCCACCTACCCTCACACAACTAACAGAGAACACTATCCTGGTGAACACTCTGGAAACAGGCCACTGCACTGCTGCGTGGGCTGTAGTAGTTTTGTCAAAAAGTCATTTTGCAAAAGAAATGCGGCTCCTGATTTTAGCATGCAGGGACTTCTCATTCCATTCCAAATGGGCAAAAGAAGAAAAGCGCCATCTAAATATGACAAATCCTGCTCTGGTTAAGGTATCACAGAAATGATGCTGATTGGCAGCATCTACATTAGCACCTTTGGACAAGACTGCAGTTTACTGGACCCTGGGATATTAGTTCATTGGAGAGCCAGAGGGAGAACCATTTTTCAGTAGAACATTATCCAACAACCCAGGGTTCCTTTCCTCCCTATAAGGGATTTGTACAGTCAAATCTCTTGAGATGTGGACTCTCCTGTAAAATGTGGAACTGCCATTAAAACAGCCCAAACTTGACAACACTTCCCCTGGTGCTCTTCAGTCTTGTTTGGATGTCACTGGGATTGCACTTCCCGTTATATAGCACAACTTTTAAGGTTAATGATTAAGAAATTGGGTTGTTGGAATTGGATTAAGAAATTGAAATTGTTAAAGTTTTATATTCCTTGGCTCCATCCAGGGGTCTTGTTGTAGAAAAAGAGCTGCCGGAGCTCATTAGCATAACTCATTAGCATAGCTTATTTGCATATGCCACGCCCCCTGACATCACCGGAAGTGACAGAAGGCCACACCCCCTGACATCACCGGAAGTGTGTCAGAAGGCCCGGCTACTTACCCTCCTGCTTCATCCTCATTCCCAAACGGAATGAGGATCGAAGCAGAGGGCGGGGTAAAGAAGGGGGCGGGGCTTCACCACGTGACCGCCCCGCCCCCTAGAGGTTCTCTTCCGGAGCTCCGTACCTGAGAGCTCCCCCCCGACTAGAGCCCTGGCTCCATCATCAACCAAAAGGGAGACTGCACCCAAGAAATCAAAAGGAGATCGAGACTGTGGAGGGCAGCCAAAAGGAGCTAGAAAAGATCCCTCAAGTGTAAGGACGTGTCACTGGTGACCAAGATCGTTAATTCATGCCATAGTACTCTCCATTACAATGTATGGGTGTGAATGCTGGACAATGAAGAAAGATGACAGGAAGAAAGTACATACCTTTGAGATGTGGTGTTGGAAGAAAGTCTTACAGATACTGTGGATCGCCAAAAAGACAAATAAGTCGGTCCTAGACCAAATTAAGCCTGAATTCTCCCTAGAAACTAAAATGGCTAAACTAAGGATATTGTACTTTGGTCACATTATGAGAAGACAAGAGTCACTGGAAAAGACAATAATGCTAGGAAAAGTTAAAGGCAGCAGGAAAAGAGGAAGAATCAACATTACACAGATTGACTCACTAAAAGAAGTCATGGCCCTCAGTTTGCAAGTCCTGAGAATGGCTGCTAATGATAGGACATTTTGGCAAACATTAATTCATAAGGTCACCAGAAGTCGGAAGCAACTTGATGGCATTTAAAACACACACACACCATATAGCAGGAGAGCAGGTAAGGTGGAAGAATTATTACTGGAATTTGGAATCTTCTAAGGTTTTACTGAATATGGTTAAGTAGAAGGAGAAGTGCCGTACTACAGAGTGTTAAATCTTTCCAAGACCACAGACTTCAATGGACTTAGAGGGGTGCAACTTTGCTTAGCTCTGCACTATTAGTGTCCTGCTGGCTTTAACTTGGCTCTTTGAAAGCAATACATTTACTCAGCAGAACACGGTCTGCTAACCCTGAGGTTCGTCATACCTTACCGTAAGTGACAGAAGCCAGAATGTTAATATATCAAAGGTCATTTTTTTCTTGTCCTCCCCTCTATGAGTGAGAGCAGCCAAAGGACACACACAGCAGCTGAGTGGTCACTGATCTCTGGTCAAGGCCACTTCTACATCTTCTGTTTGCTCAACAGGAATACCAGTACACCACAGTCTGGGTAGGTCAGTGTCCCTGAAATGCCCAGAGTGTCCCTGAAATGCACTGACCAAGCAGAAGGAAGTGCTACTGTTCTCTCTCTAAAGCAGCAATGCACTGCTGTTGCCTTCCTGTCACCTGTCCCAATAACAGTTCTTTATTGGCCAGAAGTGTGTGGGTCCATTTGGAATCACGATCTCTCTCAAGTGCTCAGCTTCTATTTCAACCAATCTTTCTCCTGCTAATATGGAATGTTGAGATTTAAACAATCAAGAACTGGATTATGATCCAAATGGTAACAACAAAAGCAGTTAAAAGGGCTGGAAAAATTGTTGCTTCCATTTTAAATTTCAGGCATCAGTACACTATAGTAGGCACAGGTTGTGGCACTTTATTTGTGGCCAGTTGATTATGAGCAAGAAACAAATAGCAGGAACAAAATTGAATAGGTTCAATATTAACAGGCTCTGTAAACTTATTATTCAGACACTTGCCTGGTCCAAAATAATATGGGATCTGACAATCGGTTATATTCTTGGAAGTCAGGAATCTGACAGTTAACCTCTACTTTGTACAGATACTTCAAAGGTTGTCAGCAGGCAGAATGGGAAATTGACTGAAGCAAAAGTATTCCATTTACAAAGAGCAAATATTTGGAAAATGCTTCATTTTGCAAATGTGTTAAGGATATAATCTTCAAGGTGATCGATCAATGGCACTTAACACCTATAAAGTTAAAAACGACTAAGTCAGGAGATGCCTTATTTTGCTAGAGTTGTGGCCCAAAAGATCATTTTTTAATATGTCTGGCACAACTGTTTAAGGATTCAAGTCATTTGGCAGTAAGAGTATGAAATCATGACATCACTCTATTACTGCTTAATTCAGTTTATTTTTTATTTATTTATCAAATTTGTACCCTGTCCTCCCAGCTGAGGCCAGCTCAGTTCATGGCTATAGTACATTTACCAAATTTAGCATCATTTGTTCTCACAGAAGCAATAATAGACCTCTCCAAACAAAATGGAAGTCTGAAAAATCTCATCAATGAAAATAGCTGCACAATGCACGGGAGTTCCTCATAATGGAGAATTTCTTGCATCAGATCAAAGAAACAGTGGGCTTACCTAATTCTGTAGATTTCCTTCTAATGTGAAAGCAAGTGTGGTGAACAGCCAGTATGGAATAACGGTTTAAGTGTCAGATAGGACTGCCATGAATTATACCTCATAGGATCGTTGTAATGATCAACTCAGTAAGACAGAAAGGTACAGATAAATAGAAGCAACAACTAAAAATAACCCCCAGTTTTTACCTCTGTATTTACTTACTGAAGCTTCATTTTTAATTTGGGCTGAGCCTAAATTAGGTATACAGAGATATGGTGCTGTTAGAATTAAGGAGACCCTCTTGAATCAACAGAATGTTCTGCCGTTATCAGAATTAATATCATATTATAACTGAGGAGCTGGGGGGGGGTATGTCAGATCCAGATTAACACAACAGAGCAAAACTGGAAGCACGGGAAAGTCCTGGGTACAATACCTTAAACACCATCAGTTTTTATAGTGATCAGAATTATTCATCTGTTTAGGGAGAAAAATATGGTACACAAACCCCTCCCATCTCACACACACCTGAATATCTGTGGCTGATGCACATGTTCGGGTCCAAGCGCCTTCCCCTGCACAAATTCATAGCAATAGCCGTTTTCGAAGGTGCAGTAGAGACTGGGGGCACAACCATGATCTTGAAGCACTTGGAAATTCCTCAGCTCACTAGCTCGGTCCACAATAAGTTCTGTCTTCCTGCCGTAGACCCGTACTAGGACGGCATCCCTCATGTTCTCCTCTGTGTAACAAGCCATGAGCTTGTTGGTGATACCATCAGTGAAGAGCTTGGTTGAGAAATGAAGAAACAGAAGAAAGTTAGCTGGTAGTGCTGTGACACCCATTTGTTGCTGTCATGGAGAACATTTATTTAACCAGCCAGAAAATATTCCAGACTTAATGAGGGGGAACCTGCCCATTCCTTGTTGTAAGTGGGATTGTAATGATGACCTCGTAAATCTAGTACTGATATCACAGACTTCAAGGGTGGAAAATACAGGGAAGTAGGTTGCCGTGGCAATTACAAGTGTATTATCAGGGGAAACGGAGCTGTGTTCCATGCAACTGAGCTGAACACATGGAAGAACAGGAGAGCAATAACAGAGAAGCTTGACCATATTCAAGCAGCATGAGTCATCCTCCTTCTTCACTGCCAGAGTGGCCACTAAAGGAATCACAATGCAACAATAATCGCTGACCAAGAAGACATGCTTTGACTGTAGCATTTGTGGTAAAGATGTTGCACCTCACATCTGCTTCCCACACAATGTTTTTGCTTTAGAGAGATAATCCACCACCACCGGTTCAACCTCACATCTGCCAAATGCTCAGAGGATCTTAGGCAAGCCACTAGCTACAAAACAGGAGTAAACAGTACTGACCCAGTTTACAGGGCTGTTGTGAGGATTATAGTATATTAAACACTTTGAATACTTTAAAAGTACACTCACTTTATAAATCGGTGAAGGCTAAGCTATTATTTTGATCTCAATGTAGCTCAAATATATATTTTTATGAAGTATGGTATGTGTTTATTGTTCCAGAAATACTGTCACACTCTGCTTCACACATCAAACTTGCTAGAGCCAGATCTTTGAATCACTTTGCTGCCATTGATACTAAGAAATTCTTTCTGGTGTTTCAGTACCTAAAAACCAAGCACTGGTCATCCACAGCTGTTCCCCTGGCTCAAATGATGTCCTTGCCTTTCCTGATCATCTTCCTTTGGTTGTGCACAGTTAGTCCTAATGCTCTCTATTTTAAGTAAGGAATACAGTTTCCCACATTTTCTATGTTGCTGCTTACCAAGACTGCTTGAGCGTGGCAAATTCAGCTCCGTCAGTTTCATAAGAAGACTGTTACCTGGGTTGGGTAGGGGAGACTGGAGACCAGGGCAATGTATTTCTTAGGACAACCCAGTTACATTCTGTGTTAGTAACCCTTTTTTGTGGTTGTGTCCTGGCATTAAAACATGGTTCTGAGATGGAGCTCTGGGAAGCTTAGGCTTCAAAGAAAAGATCTGCAGTGTGAATTCTTGGACACCATTTAGAGAGACACTTTTTTTGTTAGCAGCAGGGTCAGCAGTGGAGCAGCTATGAGAAGAAACAGGATGCTAAAGCAGTCCATTTAGCAGGGCTGAATGCAGAGATGAGTTTTATAATGTCACTCTAGCACATTTTTGCCCCCTGATGATCACAGAGACAATGCAAGCCTAATTCAAATATAAGAAATTGCAAGGACCTACAAAATGAGGAATTAGGTCCACAAGACTTGAAACCCAGCCTGACTTTAGAGCATACCAATGCTTACTGTGCCTAGGTAGCATTTCAAACTAACTATAAGTGCTGGGAAAGAAAAGGTGGGCAGACCAAGGCCAAGTTCACACAGCCACTCTACCTACGGCCAGTCACTTCACACCCCCATCCCCTTCTTGACAGCATCATGCTTGTGGAGGATCACCTGAACAGTCCGCTGTGAGCACAAATCAGCATTTGATCAAGTGTGTACCTTCTGTGATGAGGAAGGGGTCTGTGGCTCAGTGGCAGAGCATCTGCTTGGCATGCAGAAGGTCCCACATTCAATCCCTGGTGATGTTATCATGTGAAAGACCTCAGCCTGAGACCCTGGAGAGCTGCTGCCAGTCTGACAACTCTGACCTTGAATGACCAATGGTCTGATACAGTATTAGGCAGTTTCATGTATTCAAGCAGGGAGGAGAGAATGATAAGAGGAAGTAGGTAGAGGGGACATGATTACATATGCATATTTGTTTGCACCAAAGTTATTTAAAAGCACCAACAACAAAAACTGCATCTGGGTGAATTGTTACAGAGCTATGCTTCCTGAGCACTAGTAGTATGCATTAAGTGTGGTGGAGAATTCCTGAAAGTAGTGTATATATCTTCCTTAATTCAGAGAGCTATCCCTGAATTATGGCAAAGGGTTTGGCCTTAAACAAACAACGAGTTCCAGGGGCATAAACAAGGGAGGGGGGGAGGCACTGGAGTTCCAGATGAATGGAGACGTCTCTGACAAGGACATCCCTGCCATTGTTTTGACGGCTCCCACAGACGGACAGAGGGTTTTGTTCTGGGCTCTGCCCAACTTGGATGGCTGCCTCAGCATATGGAATTCTCTTTTCATCTCCCATTTAATTATTAAAAATCATTACATTCAACAGCCCCTCTTTTAGAACTAATTTAGAGTCCAGCAGCACCTTTAAGACGAACAAAGTTTTATTCAAGGTATGAGCTTTCGTGTGCAGGCACACTTTTTCAAATACCAAGTCAACATGTGATCCTTGGGCATTTTTTAAGAAAGGCTATGATGGAAACCTTACCAGCAGATACTTGGGGGGTGGGGGAGGTATGGCATCAACAGCTGTCAAAATACACAGCAAAAGTGCCTGTGAGAAGAGGTAACAATGAGCTGAAGGTGTTCCCAGGCCATTCCAACAGTGACTGCTTTGGCCCTAGTGAAAGCTACCTGTATTTTATGGGGAACAGACACAATTATTATAACTGGCAGTGCAGGAATCAGGTTTTCATCTGAGCCACACACAGCAAAGAGCTGTTTTCCGTGTCTGCATGGGCTCAGTCCCCAGAGGACAAATACTCAAAACCCCATATATATCTTTGTTATACTCCAGCATGACAAAGATGGAACACATGAAGTTGCCTGTTACTAAATCAGACCTGTGATCACTGTTCCCTCTAAGCTGAGTTAGTATGAGCTAGCTCACAGTTTTTCAGCCTCCAGCTCATACATTTTTGTCTGAGCTCAGGAAGGATGGCTCCAGAGCAAACTAATTTATGCAGTAACCAAATCGCTTGCTCACAACTTTAATGTCAGGACCTCACAAAGTAGATTTTTTGCTCACAGGACTCCACAGCTTAGAGGGAAAATTGCCTGTGAGCCATCAGAGTCAGACCAGCAGTGGCTTTCCACAGTCTCAGACGGGGGTCATTCACCATCCCCTACTACTAGATTCTTTAGCTGAGCCACAGCCCCTCCCCCTGGACAGGGGCACAGACAAGGCTCTACAAATTAAAAACCATGCCCTGTCATGCACTCCTGGAACTGTTCTTCAGTATATACCCCCATTTTGATTATCTGAGTTCTGGCTTTGTTTTAAACTTCTGCTTGCTATAAAGCTTACCAAGAGCTTTTCCTGTGGGCCTTAATAGGATTACTGATATTTATCCTCCTTACATGCCAATACATGAACTTTAGCAGCTTAACTATTAGTCCCCAATTGCCCTGAGTAAATATGATTGAATGACCTGCACCCCTGCCGTGCTAGAGGAAAATGTTCATTCTCCCTGGGTGACACTGGGATCTAAGCTAGTATTTCCGTACTGTTTCATTTCCGCCTTTTGTCTCAATGCTGTAATTTGCTGATTATAAAACAGCCCTCTAGATCTAGCTAGCTGTATGGTCAACCTCAAACACAGTAGCTGCTGCTGAGTCTTTAAAATCTGACATTTCAGAATTCTGTTCTCCCCGCCCCCTAGCCATTTTAGAAACCAATCAGTGTACAGCTACCAGTACATAGAGATTGCATTTTGTCACTAATCACTGTACATAAGCCCTATCCTTCCCTCAAATGTGCATGCATCTTTCTTTGCCTATCATAAGACCACCCTGCCTTCTAACCAGGGGCATCCCCAGACCTGAAGCTATCAAGAGCTCTAGTTATGTTAGGGTACATCCATTAGAGTCGCCTAATCTCTGATGGGTTTCTATTTCTTTTTATCACTCCCATGTTGACTAGTCCATCGCCTCCCCATCTAATATTGCAACAGTGCAGGAGTGCATCCTTTTCTTCATATAGTCTGGTGTGAAGACTGTGCAGAAGAGAGCAGTGAGGATGATCAGGGGTCTGGAGACTGAGCCCTACGAGGAAAGACTAAGGGCCTTGGGTTTGGAGGAGACTGAGGGCGGGGGGCATAATTGCTCTCTTTAAATATTTGAAAGGCTGTCATTTGGAGGAGGACAAGGAGCTGTTTTAGTTGGCAGCAGAGGATAGCACCCGAAGCACCGGTTTTAAATTACATGCAGAAAGGTATGGGCTGGATATTAGGAAAACATTTTCATGGTCAGAGTGGTTCAAAGGTGGAATCAGCTGCCTAGAGAGGTGGTTAACTCCCCTTCACTGACAGCTTTAGGCTGGTCCTGCATTGGGCAGGGGGTTGGACTAGATGGTCGGTATGGCCCCTTCCAACTCTATGATTCTATAAAGCAGGAGCCCTGAATACTACAGGAGGCAGATGAAAACATGCCCAAAGGTTTGATGTTCAAGAGTCTTGCTTTCTCTGGCCCATGAAGATGGACCTCTAGCTCACAGAGCTGTAAGTTGGGCAGAGGATCCATTGGGCTGGGATGTACCTGCCACCACTTTCAGATCCATTAGCTGTTATAAATCTGTTATGCCTCGATTACATCTGTTAGGCAATCTAAATAGAAACTTTGATACTGTCAACTTGTGGGTATGGCATTATTGGTTACAAGCTTAGGCTTATGAACTCTGAATGGGGCATTCAGCCTTTCACTTTCCAACCAGCTTTGTTTTTCCCCTCTCTTGCTTTAGTACCATCAGTCCCCCCCCCCCACAACTCTTCACCAAGACAGCTTCACCATCCTGGCAACCATATGGCTGGGTCAGAGCTGGAAAAGTAGGTCTGTCCCTTTTCCCCACCCATAGCAACATTTTCAGCGATGGATGGAGAGGAGAGAAGGTGGGGACCATTTACAAGCCTAGCCATTTGTTGGAAATACAGTTAACAAGAAGCAAGAGACTGAGAACAGATTGCTTCCCCCCAAACTCCTGGATTGGGGGCAAGGCATTGCCCTACTCTATACCCCAGGTTGTTGTAGGGAGGAAGGAGGGAAGAAAGGCATGGCACACCTTCACTTTCTTTGAGTCTGACAATGTTGGGGAAAGACTGTTTCCCACACACATAGAGACATGGAATCTTGGGCATGCATAGATGGGCAGAATCTCTGCCCTAAAGAGCTTACGGTCTAATTTTAGCCCTTTCTTTCCTGGCTCTCTGCAGATGACCTTTCCCATTTATTTTCACTCTGATTTTTCCGTCTAATTATACTTGACAATTTATAAATTTGTAATGATCCTTCTGCCACCCACTCCCAGCGCTTGCTGAGAATCTGCTTGCTTAGGGCATCAAGCCAAATTGGAGGAGCTCAAAATGTACCCAATTCTGCTGGTCCACAGTACCGTTTGTATGAAAGCTTTGGAGCCCCCTACAGGTAAACTTAGGGAACGAGACAGCTTTCAAAAGATACCTTCTTAGTGGTAGCAGCAGCTGCCCAACACTGTTATGGGACTGATATGTGATCAGTTGCACTTCAGTAATAAATTGGAGCTGGAAAATCCAAGCAGCAATGCTTCAGATGCTTGCTAGACAACAAAGACAGTTTTACAGTACAACGTAAGAGCTGTTCTTTTGGGGGACAGAAATAGTTGGACAGAATGTTCATGTCAAAGGCAGCACCCTCCACAGTTTTTTACTCAATGCAAGAGAGTGATGGAGAGTTGCTATTTTTCTTCTTGGCATGGAAGCAAACCCCCCCCCCCAAAAAAAACCCCATCAGTTCTTCCCTCACTCAAATGGTGATGCAGGCATTAAATTCAATTGAAACGTACATCATCTCTTAAACTAAGGAATAAACTACTGCTGTTGTGATTGTGAGCACCCTGTCAATTGTGAACACCTTGTGAACTGCGTAAGGACCAAGCCTCCAAGGAACTGACAGTGCCATCCTCAGCAGAGTTGCCCCCTTCTAAGACCACTGAAGTCAATGGGCTTAAAATGGTCTAACTCTACTTAGGATGGTGCTGCCAGATGTTAAAATCAAGCATATTCAATGCCACTGTGAAAGTATGCCAGCTATTTCAGACAGAACTCTACTTACTCAGAAGCTAAGCAAACTACAGTTTAAGGCTTCAGATTATGAGGGGCCTTGAAATACCCCCCATTGCTATTTGTTGGTAATGCTATTGGGCTTCTTAAACTTGATGCAGTTTAGGTCTTCAGCATGTCTTAATCCGGCCCTGATTTCAGAGCAGGATCCAAATGGGACATTTCCCTGGTCTTTTCAGCCCGTATCTGAAGCAAACAAAATACCATTTCCCCCATTTTAACTGGGCAGATTATGCAGCACCCCAATTTTATTTACAGATCCAACATGCTGCCTGCCACTGAAGTCTCTATGCCTATCTGAGCAAAGCTGCACTTTGTGACTCAAGGCAAGAATGTGCCACTAAATCCTTTGAGCCAGGGACTGTGTGTTCTGCATGTAACAAAAGGGGGCTTTCATTCATTCATTCAAAACTGTGTGCCTGCCACAGTCTAAACAGTAACAGCAAAAACATTTTTCAGATTTGCACTGTGCTTATACAATGTCAAATGTTGCCACACAGAACTAGTGCATGGCTCCATATGCACTAATTACCACAAGCTCTCTTTTAATTGTGGAGTACCAATGGGAACCTTCCAAGACCTGCACTTCTACAGAACCTCTCTTTCGGGGGATCTCAAAGCAGTCTATGGGCATAATTTCATGGCAGCGTTCTGCTCTTTTGGGCTTGCTTTCATGCATCTGGAAGTACAGGGAACAGTACCGGTATACTGCTTTGGCTGTAGTAAACTCATTATTCCCCAGGGGATGTGCCTATATTATAGTTTGTTACAGCAAAACCAAAAAGGAGTCTTGTGCCCTCTCAAAGACCTGTGGCAGAATAAGCTTTTGTGATCAGAGGAGGAGGAGAGAGTTATCCCTAGGCAGCAGTCAGGCCAAAAGACACAGATACAAGACATACCATCTGTGCGTATCTATATAAAACTCAAATTATACCAAAACTGAAAAAGGAATCCTGTGACTGCTTAAAAATTACATGTTTTATTGCAGCATACCCTTTGGTGGAAAAAACCACTTATCAGATGCACAAAGTATGTCTTCATGTGGCAGACTGTATATAGGTGTAGAGAAACAAGAGTGTCAACAGTAAGGCCATGAAACACAAACAGTACAGTTTTTAACTTTCCTGTGCAGAGATTCTTCAGGCATCTGACAAAAAGGCCTACAATCCACAAAGAAAAAAAGCCCATTTTTAAGGTGCCACAAAATTCCCTTTTTTTTTTGTTATGCCCTATTCCTGCCAAGCTGACAGGTGGATGGGTCTGCATTGACCTGTGCACGGATCCCAGATGTATCCCACTTTGGAAAACCAAGTGTGCCCCCAGACTTCAAGAGACCCATGAAGAAACTGCTTTAAGATTAACTGGTTGACAGGGAAGAGAAAAACATGTTGACTCCAACTCTGTTTTACACCTGTGAAAACTGAGGCACAGAAAAGAGAACTTTGGATTGGCTAGAAAGAGGCTGCAACTACCAACCCAAAACACTAAGCACTGGGGTCCACTGGCTCATGCCCAGACCTCCTACTAAATAGGCCCCATGCTTATGATGCTGAGCATACAACCTATTTACTTGTGGATCAGTTTACTGTGACCTCTCCAGAGTCTTTGGAGGGGGGGGGGATACTGGAGGAGTATAATGTTGTGTTTGGAAGCCACATGGGTTAGAATGTGCACCCTTATAATCCATGCCAATTAATCAGTTACCTTGATCTGCATTTCTGACCACTGGAAAAGATTCAGCTCTTGCTTGATCCATAAGCATACCCTGAAAGGGTGGGAAAGATCCATTCCGACTACATATACATGATGGTGCTATTGGGAGTACCTAATCTCCATGGAAGGATCTACTGTACAGTGCACCTATGGAGGTTTTTAAAAATACCAGGTGCGGGCCCAGTTCACCTCCTTCTACCATCAAGCCCAGCCTAGACTTGTTGAATGTTCTCCATTCATAGCACTTCCTACCCACCCTCCCTTCGGCCCTCCTTTTTCCAATTCGTTTTCCTTTGGTTTCATACACGCTCGGAGCCCGGCCTCCCACCCGGCTAACGCCAGGAGGGTGCTCGCAACAGCCTGCAACGAAACTCTGTGCTGTGGCTGTACCTTGGTCTTAACTCGCGCCGTCTCCCATTGTGGTCTCAGCTTGCGGATCAGCTGCAGTGCTCCCGGCAGGACGTTCGTCTCATCCACCGCAATGCTGACACTCGGGATGGCAGGGTAGCTCGTGCAGACGTGCTGCTCCTCCTCCGCTTCTTCCTCCTCCATGCCCCATGGGCCGTCTGAGTACAAGTCTGCCCTCTCCAGATGCGGGACAGAGTTAGGGGAAAGGAAGGCACGGCAGAACTGCCTCAGCCAGCAACTCCTCCCCCTCAGCAACGGGAGGCTTGCGAGGGCGCCCATGTGTAGGGGCTGGGAAAGGGCGGGGAGGGAGGAGCCAGCCCCAAGAGGAATCCATGAGTCACTCTCGCATCTCCTCCTTTTCTAGAGCAGAAGGCTCTTATTGGAACACTCAGGGCGGCCCGGATTGTGATGTCAGAGGGAGCGATCGCTCTCAGTGGCCACAGAGACGGAGAGGCCAGCCTATCCTTGGAAGGCAGGACTTAACTCCAGAGCAGAGAAAGATGCTCCAGTCGTCAAGGTTGCTGCTGCCACAGCTGGCCAGCTAGGTAAGGGGGCGTGACGCGTGAGGGTTTCTTGGCCGCAGCTGGTGACCAATCGTAACATTTGAGATTCCAAATAAACGCGAGGCTGGTCTCCCTCCCTAGGAAAAGACTGGCCTCTGAGTACTTAAAACGGCTGCTGTTATGAATGATAGGCAGGGGAAAAGAAAACTGTATTCTTTTCGTGCTGCATCTTCCAGTGTGATGGTGTGGAAGACCATACAGTTCAGCTAAAGCTAAATAGGTACAGGATGAAAAACAAAATCCGGGGACCTGCCAAATTGACACAAAAGAAACCAGGCAGCTAAACACCAGGTGTGATGGACAGGGTACCTGTCTAATCTCTGGCTGCCATGCATCTGTAAGACACAGAATAAAGGCTGCTAGCCTCATAAGTAGCTGTCTTGATTTAGACAAATAATTTGGAATGCCCATTACATATTTCTGCCATTTAGTTTATTCTACCAGAGCATTTGTATGATTCTTACCTTAGCAGTCACTTTTTTTTCCAAATAAATTCTGATCCTACCAATTTTGCCTCTAGAAGTTTGACAAGCAGATCAAGATTTTCTGGCTGTGATGGGAAAGCTGCACTATTGAAGTTTTGCCTGACATTTGAAGAGGACCTATAATCAGTTACCCCGTTGTTCCATCTAACTCAGTATTGTCTGTTATGACTGGCTGCAGTTCTCCAGGGTCTCAGATGGAAAAAGTTCTAGCTCAGCTCTTGCTATTTGGGATTATTTAATCTGAAATTAAACCTGAGCCTCCTCCATGCAAAGCAGATGCTGTACTACTGAACCACAAATCCTCCTCAGCATGTACCTTTTAAAGGTGCAAGGGCCCTGGTCAGCAATGATAGGGGCAAAGTTAACAGCACATGTCTTCAAGCCTCTCAGACTGTATACATCAGCCACTTTATGAACTATGTAGCGTAGAGAGAGACCAACTATTGATTGAGCACAGGCCATATGATTTGTGTGGAAGTTACTCACAGGAAAAGATACCTGCTTTAGTTCCGTTTCCCACAATTCTAGTTGATTAGTTTTCCCCCAAAGCAATGCAAAATGCCCATGTGTATTGATATGAACTGTCATTCTGGTTCAGACCAATATTCCCTCTAAGCTGTGGAGTCTTGTGAGCAAAAATTCTACTTTGTGAGCTACTGGCATTAAAATTATGAGCAGCTGATTTGGCTACTGCATAAATTAGTTTGCTCTGGAGCCATCCTTCCTGAACTAAGAAAAAAAAAGTGTGAGCTGAAGGCTAAAAAACTGAGCTAGCCCACACTAACTCAGCTTAGAGGGAACACTGGTTCAGACTAAAGTCCATCTATTTGAGCATTTAGTTTTGAACAGTAGCCGGCCAGAGGCCTTTGGGAACCTTCCACTAGTCTGTTGATTGTAGTCAGAGAACTGTTGAATCTCTAGGCAGACAATGCATTTAATGATCATGGCTCATGCTATATTTGTTGTGAATTTGTCTAATCCTATTTTTTTTTAAAAAAAAAACTAGTTGCTGTTAATGAATACTGGTATGGATATTGACATCCTCACTGGTTCTGGTGCTGTGTGTTTATATGTTTTTATAGAATTGTTTTAAATCATGTTTTTAATTCTTCATATGATTTAATGTTTTTGTGTTCACCACCTTGGAGCCCCTGTTCAGGTGGAAAGGTAGCATAAAATTGATTAAAATAAATAAATAACTAAAATATGTAGTTGAGACATAATTCTGTCACGAGCACTTTACATCACCTGTAACCTAATACAGAGACACAATTAGTTATAACACTCAGGATAGCTCTGGCTCATTATCTTTGACTATATCCGGGGCGGATTCAGGTGGATAGCCATGTTGGTCTGAAGCAACAGAACAAAATTCAAGTCCAGTGGCACCTTTAAGACCCACAAAGTTTTATTCAAGGTATAAGCTTTGTTTTGCATGCACACTTCAGATACATTGAAATGGAAGTTACCAGTCCATACATACAGGTAGAGGGTGAGCAGCAATTAGCATACAACATAATTAAGATGTTTAACACAGAGGTGTCAAACTCATTTGTTATAAGGGGTGGATCTGACATAAATGTCATTTTGTGAGGCCGGACCATGTTCGCTATAAAATGTAACACAAGGTTCCAGAGATATAAACTTTATAAACATGATTTCAGATGTCGAATGGCAGTAGCAGGCTTGATTGGAATAGGTGTGATATGCAGAGGGGTAGTAGGTGTGAAGATATCAGCATTGGTAATGAGACAGGAAACCTAGGTCTCAATGTGGTCCAGGAGGATTCAGTCCAGGAGGATACAAAGAATAAATGGAAATAAACGGGTCATTTAGGAGAAAAATAGGTGCAGGAGCTCATTAGCATAACTTATTTGCATATGTCACACACCCTGACATCACCGGAAGTGTGTCAGAAGGCAACACCCACCACTCAGGTTCCACTGGACTGTTTTGGATTGCTGCCTATGGTGGAGGGGAACACGCAGATCTGTCCTCGTAGAGGAGGGAGAGCTTGTACCTGAATAAAACTTGGTCTTAAAGGTGCCACTGGATTGTTTTGGACCGGGGGAGCGGGGGGAGCTCTGCAATTTACCTGGCTGCTTCTTGCTCTGACTGAGGGCTGCTGGGAGCAGGGGGTGGGGCTTGTTGCATGTGCCCACCCCCTGGGCTCTTTACTGCCGGAGCTCCACTCCTGTGTGCTCCAGCAGGAAATGACCCTTGGAAATAAGTCTAAAGAAGTGATCAGTGACTCACGAAAACTCATACCCTACCACAAATTATAATAGTCTTTAAGATGCTACTGGACCCTTACTCTTTCTACTGCTATTAGAAACCACAGCATTCAAAAAACAGGGGGGGGGACATTTTAACCTTTCAGGACATTCAGTTGCTGACTTAGGAGCAGCAGTTCTCTTACAATGGAATTTCAAAAGGAGATAAGAAAGACTGCTGAATTGCAACTGATGATGAAGCTCAAGACAATGCATCCTCCTGGACAGAACTGAGACCTAGGTTTCTTCTCTAGTTACCAATGCCTGCTGTTGTCATTTGGCATCTGAAATCACTTCACTCTCCAAGATATAAGGACAGATGGACTCACATTCTAATTGTATCTGAAGAAGTGACCAGTGACTCATGAAAGCTCATGCCCTACCACAAGTTTTGTTAGTTGTTAAGGTGCTACTGGACTCTTGCTCCCCTCCACTAATAAAGATTGCAAGCTGTGCTGTTAGGTTTCTTCCCCCCCCCCCATCTCTTAGAACTTGAAAGGGGGATCTTTCCCTCCCTCCCTCCCTCTGAAGTGTGCAGGAAGTAGATGAGAGTCAGTTGTTCACGGGCCAGATAGGAGCCCTGCAGGGGCCAGTTCCAGCCAGCGGGCCATAAGTTTAACACCCCTAATTTAACAGATGCAAGGACCAAACAGGATTTAAATCTAGAGGGAAACATAGGCCCCGGTCACTCGGGCCAGATAATGCAGGGGGGGAGGCGTGGCTGTTTGCCCCGGAGCAAAATAAAGCACGGTAGCCCGATCCCATGGTCCCCCAAGTCTCTGTGCTTCAGCTGTTAGCTGGCAATCACACAGCGATGCTGCAGCATAGCAAAGAAGCGGCACGGCACGATCACACAAGCGTTTTGTGTTTGTGTGCATGCACAGTTCCGCTGAGCAGCACTGCTTTCAGTTTCATGTTTGAGCACATGCGCTTACGAAAAACATCCCGTTTGCGACGGGACGTGGATGGGCGCTGGATACCATGGGATACTGATCCCGTGATCAGACACCCACCGGATACTAGTGCACTTTCCTTGGTACTTTTTAACTCGGCATCTTCGACGGGATGCCACAGGTTGGCCACAGGTGCACTACGCTTTCCAGATGTTGCGGCGTGATCGTGCCCTGAAAACCCGCCTGACGTTCGTGCCTTTCGCATAGCAAATTCTCCATGTGACTGGGGCCATAGTGAAGCAAATAAATATATCAAAATTGGACATTGATGTGTAAATGTACCCTTCTTAATTGTGGAGTGCTGAGAGTAATTAACTGAGTACCTGTTGTTACACTCCATCCATCTCCTCTCAAGCACGGAGGTAACTAACATTATCCTTTTCTTTAAGGTAGGGTGATTGGTTGTGCCATGTTATGTCTCCTCTGTCACCAGACCAGAGAAACACACTCCAGTCTACCATTACAAATTGCCATGGATCCTGGGGAGGACAGGGCTTGGAGAGGGGAGGGAGGGAGGGACCTCAGCAGTGTTCCCTCTAAGTTGAGTTATTGTGAGCTAGCTCACAGTTTTTTAGCCTCCACCTCACCCATTTTGGTCTTAGCTCAGGAGGGATGGCTCCAGAGCAAACTAATTTATGCAGTAGCCAAATCGTGCACTCACCACTTTAATGCCAGCAGCTCACAAAGTAGAATTTTTGCTCACAAGACTCCACAGCTTAGAGGGAACATTGGACCTCAGTAGGATATAATATTATAGAGCCCACTCAAAAGCTGCTGTTTTCTCCAGGGGAGCTGATCTCTGTAGTCCGGACTTCAGTTGTGATTCCAAGAGAATTCCAGACTCCACCTGAAGGTTGGTAACCTTGAGTTTTAGTGAGAAAGGTGGGTAATAAAAACAACCTGCCCCCAACACTTCTCTCTGGCGTATAGCTTTACCTGCCTCAAGGTGAGGTTTGGAGATCTCCTGGAATTAAGAACGGTTCTTCAGGAACAGAGATCAGCCCCCCTGGAGAAAACGGCTGCTTTGAAGGGTAGACTGTATGGCATTGTATCCCACTGGAGTCCCACCCCTCTCCAAATGCTCCCTTCCACCTCCAAAGTCTCCAGGTATTTCTCACCTGGAGTTGGCAACCCAACTTGACATACTGTTTTTCTATGTTGGGGTGGTGGTTTTTTATGGGGAAGCATGCAATCCAGTGAGCCCCACCTGTGATCTGAGGAGGTAAGAAACAAGTTTATTTCTGAACCAGTTGTTCATCAGAAGCAGGCCAGCCTTATTTAAATGTTGCAACAAAATAGTTGATAAATTATTAGAAACATTTGGGAAGGAAATGCTTATTAAAATTTGATTGACTTCTCAAATTAGGGAAGGCTGATTTCTAACTGGGGAGAAAGTATTTTTTCCTCTAAACATTCAGCTAACTGAATGGGAAACCAAATAAGCAATACAGAGCTAGAGAGAGTGATTATCTTTTCTGATCAAGTAGAATGACTCATTATTTTAATCAGGATGGCTTTAATTGTCCTTGCTTCTTTGCAAGGCTCAATTTAACTTAATTGCCTTGCTGGTTCCAGTCTGAAGTGTTAATATCTGCCAGTTGCAGGTCACAAGTGACTCTTCTCCAGAACCACCTGCTTCTGTACAATGGCAGGCAGGAAATTGTCCTGTCACTTGCTAGTGGAGGTGTTAATAGGCTGGGCTCAGGATTATTCAGCTGCTTTAGCTAAGAAAGGTGAGTGACAGAAATACTTGACTGTAATTTAATTTTGAAGGAGAAGTGAATCCTAGATTGTAAAAGCAACTATGTGTAGCTTGGACCCACATCCATCTCATGGGAAGGCCCGAAAGAACTGGGTGGGCTGTTGGTAGGGATGATCAATTCTTCATGGTGTGGCGACTGCCATTTTCTCTTCCGTGCTCATCAGGCTCCTGCTGATCAAGCCAAGTCACAGTCAATTTATAGCTACCCCATAGGGTTTTCAAGGCAAGAGATGTTCAGGGGTGGCTTGCCATTGCCTTCTTCAGTCTTTCTTGGTGGTCTCCCATCCTTCTGAGCTCTGCCAAGAATGGGCTATACTAGGGGTGGCCAAACTGTGTCTCGGGAGCCACATGTGGCTCTTTCACACATATTGTGTGGCTCCCGGCAGGGCAGCTGGACAAGCAAAGAGGAGCCATGCTTTCTCTTCCACCCACCCTCCCTCCCTCCCTCCCTCCCTCCTTCCAAAGTTGTGTGCTTGCACACAAAATCTTATACCTGGAATAAAACACTGTTGGTCTTAAAGCTGGGCTTCCAATTTTGTTTTCTCATTTAATGGTAATAAAAAGCAAATGTGCATATTTTTAAATAAAAACGTGTGTAATATTTGTTTATATCTTGCAGCTCTCAAACATCTGACATTTATTTTATGTGGCTCTTACACTGAGCAAGTTTGGCCACCCCTGGGCTATACCATACCATTCCACATCCCTGTGGATTCTGCCTTACTTCCTCCTAAAATAATGGAAGGCAACATACTTTTGGTATTGTCAGTTCTTGTTTAATCCATCACTAAGACAAGATACAAAGATTACTTACATATCTGCACATTATTTCTCTACAACTCAAAAAGCAAAAATGGATCACTTTGGCAAAACATGTGCGGGCACCTTGAGAGTTCCATCAGAGTTTTAGTGGCCTTTGCCCCAGCTAGCTAGAGGCTGAGCAAATCCTTCTAGGAGTACAGTGGAAACAATACTTTCCCCTATTGTAACAGAAGGCTGTTTGGTGACAGACGTATTTGAATTACTGAAATAGACCTCACAAGCCAAGCTACTCATGGTGATAGGTGACACATTAATGGACCCCTGCTGTTTTTTAAACTTTAAATGGCAGCTCTGCTGCACCCCCACTCAGACTGCAGCTACAGTGAGGCAAGGTGTTAATTCTTTGCCCCTGTGCCAATATAACAATTTCAGTTGCCCTCCTCTGGGGTGTGCTGGTCACTCTCATGGACGATCTCCATAGTCAGTTGGATTGAGGTGGGTTGGCGCTGCTGTTATTGCTCAACCTGACAGCAGCGTTCAACACAGTAGATCACTATCTTCTAGTTCATCATCTTGCCGATATAGGAATACATGGGACAGCCCTACAGTAGGTTGCCTCATTTCTCCAAGGTCAGGGACAGAGGGTGGCACTGGGTGACAGGGTGCAGGGTCCCTCGGGGCTATCCTCTTCCCAATGTTGTTCAACTTCTACACGCACCCCCTCACCCAGCTGGCATGGAGTTTCAGGCTGACCTGTCACCAGTATGCTGATGACACCCAACTATATCTGCTGATGGACAGCCAGCTGGATGCCACCCCAGAAAACCTGGCTGAGGGTTTGGAGGCCATGGGGAGGTGGCTTAAGCAGAGTTGGCTGAGTCTGAATCCATTAAATATGGAGGTTCTCTGGCTGGGTGGGTGGGACTCAGGTTTGGGTTGCCAACCTCCAGCTCTTGACCATGCGCCTCTAATACTGGCACAGACAGTCTGGCATCTGGGTGTGGTCCTGGATACCTCCTTGTCAGTGGAGGCCCAGGTCACAAATGTTACCAGACTGGCATTCTTCCAACTCCACCAGGTCAGACAACGTGCCCCGTACCTGTCTCACCCTGACCTAGCCATGGTAATCCACTCAATGGTCACCTCTAGACTTGAAAGTAAAGGTATCTGTTTTCCCACTTCCTGCTTCTCTGGCATACTGGTAAAGCAGTGATGTGACAGTATAGCCCTGGTCGAGGCTAGACGGATGTCCTTTGGGGAGATGTTGATTATTAGAGCGTAAGCTCTTCGAGGCGTATACAGGAAGAGGCGGTCCCTTAGGTATGTTGGTCCCAGGTCGTATAAGGCTTTGAAGGTTATTACCAGCACCTTGAAGTGGATTCGGTACTCAACTAGTAACCAGTGCAGCTGGCAGAGCACATGCCGAACATGAGCCCACACAGGTTTTGACGTCAGCAGGTGCACCGCCGCATTTTGTACCAGTTGTAATTTCTGGATCAGCCTCAGGGATAAGCTTGCATAGAGCAAGTTGCAGTAATCAAGCCTGGAAATGACTATTGCATGGATTACCATCGCTAGGTCTTGGGGGGAGAGGTAGGGCTTCAGTAGCCTAATCTGCCTAAAATGGACCTCCATGGACAGAGAGGCATCCAGTGTTTCTCCCAGGCTCCTCACTGTCTGGGCTGGCACCAAAGGTGCCCCTTCCAGTGTGGGGAGCCTGGTGCCCACATCCATGCCCCCTTGACCCAGGTACAGGTTTCATAAATATTTAAACAAAGTGTAGTGTAGATGTGACCATCTTTCAAAGCTATATGGGCAGTGGATTGCCTTCATCTGTTGTCAGTCAATATCTAGCTTCTACAGCTAGACATCAGTGGGACTTTGCTAGGTGTGATATGTAGTATTAATCTCATCCTGAGGCTTTTGTACTGATGTCAATAATCACAAAAATGCAGGGAATTTATTAACCTCTCACAGAAGATGGCCACTTATGGCCAATTTGCACTCTTTGCTAGAAACTGAAAAGTATTCAATAGATTCTCTTTTGCAGGGCAGAATTTATGAGATTAAAAGGCAGGGTATACAACCTTTCAACGATCTGACTTCAGTGGGCAACAGGGCAAGATCTGAGAATTCTGTGACAGAAGTTATCACGGCTTATATAGCAGATTAATGAAAAAGGTTTTGCATATATATTGACACTTTCTCTTCATGTATTTGCAAACAATATATTATTAAGCTATCATGTTTCACAGTTTTAAGTAGTCTCTCCTCTAAATACAACATGATCCAAATTAGGATTCTTCTGGTGTCAGAGGGATTTGGCAAAGCCAATCCGGTGGTGCTTCCGGTCAAATTCAGTGTAGTACTCTCCAATGAAACTGGCACCCAAAAACCACAGGGGGCCCAGTGGAGGAGGGATGTCAAAACCTGAGAAAGCCACAACACAGAGGCCACTCCCATAATCGGAATGCTGCAGAGAGAATTGTCCATCCAAACAAAGAAGTGAGTTAATAGGATCGTTTCAGGCTCTAACATCAGCTGTGAAATGCTTACCCTATTTGGTCTACCCACTGAATCTCCATGTCTCACAATTGCCAACAGTATCTGTGGGAACCAGTTATCATGGATCTAAGTACCTGCTCCTCTCTACTTTTCACAGACATCTGTCTGAATCCTGCTCACTTTCTAGATATCAGACTTCTTGTGCCCCTGATTCATGACTGTAGTTCACTTTTATTTGGGAAACACATATGGTATTTCCGTTTTTGGAGTAAGGCCAAAGTACAAGATAAATGTTCAAAAAAACTTCCTTACTATTGCTTTTCTGCGAGTGAAATACTTCACTTCCAGATGAATTTCCTCCACAATCACTACCACGCTTTGGCTGAGCAATTGAATGCTTGAATTCTAAACCCTTTTCTTGCAAGTGAGTAAATTAAACTGCATTTACACCCCAGTCCCAGTCTTCTTTAAGTGCTTGTAATCCCCACTGTGGCCTAAGGAAGTATTTAAAAGTTTGTGGGGAAATTATCCTTTTGTAAAGGTGCCCAGCCTTTCCTTCTCACAGGGCTCCTATGCATTTAACAGCACTTGACAAGCAGAATTCCAGCAAGTTAAGCATTTGCTATCACTGCGTTTGCTTTCCAGAACATCCCCCCCCCACCCCGAATTACATAGCTGTTCTGTCTGGTGCAGAGTCATCCCGAAAAGTTTCCCCTTGCTCTTTCCTTGCATATTAATTGCTGCCAAGCAGTTCTAGCAGCCCTATCTTCCAGGTAGACTGTTGCAAATTGAGGCATCCCAGATTTTAGACTGATGGATCATGGGCATGAAAAAGCATCAACTGAGAGATGTCTCTTTGCCCTTATCTTCCTGTTCCTATGTATTCCAGTGCTCATGTGAAGCTCTCCTTGATCACATGGCTTGAGCACATCACATTATTGCTATTTATGTCTCAGTTTATAAACATACTTCTATGATTGCCACTTTTTAATGGGCAGAATATTTGAGTCATGAGTGCAGTACAAAAGTAATCTTGTTTTTCCAACATGGAGATGCTTTGATGGGAATAGTTTCATCTCTTGATGTCTGCCAGTTGTGAATCAAGTTGTTAATACAAGACATAGACTCTCTATCTAAAAGATATCAAACCTTACATATCATCTTTCTCCAACACCTGTAAGCATTTCTTTTTCCTTTTTCTAGATCTGTTTTAGGCTTAGAATAATTAAGGGAATTATATATCAGGCTTTAAGAAGCCAGTAGCCCGTATAAGAATAACACTGATCTACAGTAAGTTATGGTCAAATAGAAAGAAATACTTAGAATATTTTGTAGAATTCACTATTCTTGATAAAGGTCACTTTAGACAACTTCATGAAGGGTAAGTCTATTGATGTCTATTGGCCAATCTAGTGAACCGGAACCTCCGTCAGAGACAGGCAATACACTTCTAAGTACTGGGTGCTAGGAACAAACAAGAGTTGTTGACTATCACCACCTTTCTCAGCTTGGGAATTTATAGAGATGTCTGTCTGGTAACTGAGGAAGATGGAATGTTGAATGAGATGGATATTTCGCCTGATCAAGCAATGAAAGTCTTATGTTCTCAAGAAGCAGAATCAGTCTATATATTCCTTGATACAGGATACATACATTTCCTTGCTCCACTACACAGGATATTCCTTTCTCATTTCCATGATGCATGCAATAAATATTGGATATCAAATACAAATGTGCATCTAGCCTAGCTCCTACTTTGCCTGCTTTCTCTATATCTATCCCACTTACTGTAAATTGTTATAAAACATCTCACCTGGAGGGTGTAGGCAGAGCCACTGAGCTTATAGGGTATACCTTCGAAGGTAAAAGAAATATCAGGCAGAAGCTGGACTTTGCTACATTCAACGACATACTGCAAAAGAAAAAGAAGGTGTTTAGGTCTCAGGGGGGGGGGAGTTTAAAGTTTCATATTTATTTTGTCCACTATCAGAGCAACTCTCTCTCCTACCTAGATTTTAATGTATCAAGATTTCACATACATATCCTCTTAAAACAGGGGTGTCAAACCTAAGGCCTGCAAGCTGGAAGTGGCCCACCCAGGGCTTTAATCAGGCCCATGTCCTCACCCTTCCTAGGGAGATCGGGGCTGCTGAACTTCCCAGCTGGCTGGGCCTTGTCTTCCCAGTTTCTCCTCCAGCAAAAACTGCAAAGAAAATGCGGAATGGATTTTCCTTTAAGGTCTCTAGGCCCAGATAGACTACTCTGGGACAGAAATGTCAGCCCCCAGAGTGGAATGAAGGTCCCTGGGAGTAGCAGCTGCATTCTGGGAATGGAATTCCACTCTGGGGGCTGTCATTCCAGTCCCAGAGTAGTCTTTCTGGGCCCAGAAACTTTAATGGGAAATCCATTCTGCATTTTCTTTGCAACTTTTTTTGAGCTAACGTATTTCAATGGAGTGGAGTTTCTGTTTCCAGTGTTTGTATGCCAGTTAAATTTGTCTGCTTGCAAATAAAGGGCTGATGTTTTGAGCCAGCTTGCCTCTGCTGAATGGACCTGAGAACAGGTGCCTGAGTGAGTACTCTAACCTGGGAGCCCACAGCCAAAGGGGGACATTACACTGGAGAGCCACTGCCACTCTGAGTAGACCTGGGGGGCGGGAGCTTGCAATGCCCAGCCATTTCATGTTTTCCTAGGCTCAGAGGATTTTATATTTTTAATTTTATTTTTCATTTCTGCTGTGATCCTTGATGTCTTATTTAACAAATTGCATTGCCAAATCCCACTATCCTCCCATCTTTCCATTTTAGGTAGGCATCTTTTAAAGGGGGGGGGAGGTTTGGGAAGTGTCGGTGATCAAAGACTGTTAAATAAAATATGGCAAGAGTGTTACTGTTTTAAGTATGTTTGTATTTTCAGTTTAAGAAACCCTTTAATTGCATTTGTCGGTGTCCTTTATAAAGTTAATATCTTTGCTACCTGGCATTACATTTTATGACACACATGGCCTGGCCCGACAAAGTCCTCTGTGTGTGTGTGTACACATACACACACACACATACATACACACATATATGTAACAAATGAGTTTGACACCACTGTACTAAAAGCTGTCCAGCATTTTTTGAGTAAACCAGCGAACTACTCACAAGAAGAAAGGGCAGTAGAAAAGTTGCCAGTTTCAGACTCTGAGACTGTACCTTTTAGTTTCTAAAGTTCCAGGGCAGCTAGAGAGTCTTTGCATGCATGACAAGGCAAATAAACTTGAGGGGTTTCCTCCCTCAGTTTTGGACTTTTGTTTCCTGGCCCTGCCACTGGAGCAGAAGATGAGTATGTGGAAGAAGGTGTTCAGTTTACTTACATCTCTTTCTGAAATCAAGGTAGCTCCAATGGCTTTCATCAGGACTGATATAGAACTAGCTGGACCAATAATAAAGGAAGTCCCAGTGTCTACAGCTGCTGTGCAACCATCTTGACAGAACAGCATTTCACCTCCTACAGACACCCTGTGGAGAAAGCAAAGTAACAGTCTGATTTCCTTTCAGTTTTCATACAGTTTTTCAGTTTTTCTCTGTATGTACTTTTCTAAAACCCTGAGGTAATGATAATGATGGTGTGACTGAAACAATTAGAGCTATATATAAAACGAAGTGAAATGCAGCTGCCTCATATCTAAACCTGATGAATTCTCCCTCATTTTGCAAGCTACACATATGAAATGGCTGTGAACACTTCCATAATAACACAAATGGAGACAGTATTCTTGTGAAGATAAAACTGAGGGGAGAATCATGTTGCCATCTGACCACTACAGAAAGGGTGGGATAAAGTTGTAATAGATATATAAATCATGTGTTTCAGAAAAACCTAAGCCCCAAAGTGATAATTTTTGAACTGGATTTAAATACAAATTATAACAACTAGACTTGTTGGTGGGCTGAGAGAACTCTGAGCGATGTGACTGACCCAAGGTCATGCAGCTGGTTTCACATGGATAAGTGGGGAATTGAACCCAGTTCTCTGGATTAGAGTCCTGCCACTCTTAACCACTACCCCAAACCGGCTCCCTTCTGACTGCACAGGATTGATGGCATAGAGGAGGTTATTACCATACAACTTGACTGTCTTGGTTAACCAAATGGATATCACTGAAAGAGGACTCCTCTTTAACCTATATTGAGTAAACATACATTAACATTCCATTAGACGCCTGTATTTGGCTAAAAAAATGGAGAGGTGAAAATTTCAGTCATGGTAACTCAATTACTGATGTGTTGTTGCATACCTGGTCACAGTTTGATCATAAAATAGCACGTTCTGCCTCCCTATTATCGTCAGTTATTAGAAATAAAAAAATGCATATCTGACCATGACCCTAAAACCTTTAAACATTGAGACCACTTTTGAAAGGACTACACACTAATCTCTCCTTATACATAATTCTGTTTTGGGGTGGCAAGATTCCATGCACTCCCACAGCCATTGGCCCATCAGCCGCCACTCAAGAGTACGTGTGCCATTGGCCGGGTGCTGGGTCTGCTCCTCTTCCCCGCCCACTCCCCCTTCAGCCACTCTGCCCTGTCAGAATTACTTGCAAACAGCTTTCTCTCTTGATGGAGACACTTCTCCTGCTTGCCTCCTGTGTGGGACTTAACTTTTCTCTCAGTGGCTGTTGGTAGGTGTAACAAAATGGCAATTGGCTGTGTTTGTAAGATGGCTGCTATCTGTGTGGTTGTTTGTTTAAAATGTTCCCCCATAAGGTTTAATTGGGCTGTAGTTCCAGAGAGGGGCCTGCAGGGGTATCACTCACTGGGTTGAATGGGGCTTCCTCATCTGCTGGCCTACAGTTCCCACCTGCCCCAAGGCCAAGAAGTGTGGGAAAAGAGAGACTGTCCCAAGGGGTAGGGCAGCATCAATATAGACTCCAGCCCATCCAGGGAGGAGGCAGTCTTCGTCCCACAGGAGGTTAGGAAATGCTCCTGCTGCCTGTGCTGACAAGGCTGTCTAGGTCACAAGCCACAGACGTGGGGGAACCCTGGGAGGCAGCAGAGATTCAGCCACTCCACAGTTGGCTGGACTGGGGAATGAATGGAAGTTTCCCTGCTTTCTTGGGCTTGGCCTGAAGCAGAGCCAGAGGCTAGTCCAAGGAGAGATCCTATCCTGAGCCCACAACCTCCAGAGGTAGAGAGAGTGTTATGTGTAGGG